AAGCAGCAGAGACACCTGGGAGAGGGTTGTTGGGGCAGAGAGATGGCAAGGAGAAGGAATCCAGGATGGGACTTTCATCAAAGTTCTACCTACCATGCTGCTCTCATGCTGTAGAGGATGTTCTCACCCTGACCCCCCACTTTTACCTTCTCCTGAAAAACTGAGTTGTCCTCATTGTTTTTCTCATCAACCTTAATGACTGCTGGTATTTTTCAAGGTATTTTAGATGAGCAACACATCACATAACCCCTATTGCAGTAAATCCTGGGTTTTTTTGCTCTGCTGAACTATCTTTTCCCTCTGCTAATATGACATAGTAAGCTCTCTGAGATGTGAGAGCTGATCTGAAAGGGAAAAGCCTCCTTTTGACTAAGAAGCTGATTTTATTTTGCTATTGAGCAAAGGCAGAGAAAATGCTCTTCTTGGATAAGAGCACCGGACTTGGCTGGCTCCCACAGCCCTGAAATATGCGGAAGCCAAGCATTGCATTGAGGTAAATGTGTCCTCCACTCTCCAGCCAGGTGCTATGATAGCAAGCAGATCCAGGAAACACTTAGTCTTTTCTCAGGAAATATCCTACCAGGTAGGGTATCTCTGCTTTTATTCCCAGCTTCTCCTACTGCTTCTCCAGCAACACCAGAGTCTTTGCCATGGTGTCAGGAAGGTGCCTCCCGTTTGCCTTACAGAACAACATGAGCCGTACCAGGGCTCACACTCAGCCTCAGGGCTGGCACTCCTGAAGCCAAAGCAAATTCTTGCTGGTGGTGTCTTTCATGGTAACCACAGTTTCCTTTCTGTGTTCAAACTCAATTCATCTGGACCGTCTGTAGGAGGAAGGAGAGGTTTCTACAAGAGCAGGCGTAGCAGTTCTGCAGCAGCTAAGCTGGTGATCATCCCCAGGCTGAGGAGCTGCAGTGATGGCATAGGACAAGAAAACTCTCTGGGACTGGTGTTAGAAGCTGAGCTAGTGTGCATGGGCTGTCTCTGCCACTAGGGAATATTTCTGATTGTAGGAGCTGAGGATGTGGCCACACTGTTTGCCTCACAGCAGGATTCCTTTTGGTTGCAGCATTTGGCACAGTCTTTCCATTTAACAGAGGGCTTCAGAGGAGCATCACTTCGCTGGCCCTGGGGCTCCGAGTAGTTTGGGGGAGTGGAAGTCTGCCATTATTCTGATATGCTGGTCACTTTTGGTCTGCCAGTGTATGAAGGGCTGCATGGGTTTTTCCTCCCACCGAAGCAGAAGATAAAACTGCAGAAACTGTAAGTCCAAGTGTAAATACCAGAAGCTCTGCAGTGGCGATGGCAGCAGCACAGCTAAAGGGGAAGTGTGAGCAGCATGGTGCACAGACACATGGAGACTGCACAGTCCTTGCCGTCTGTCTGGGGCTGCTGTTGCTGCTGCAGCCTGACCCTGAAACCACTGTCAAAGCATACGAAGACAAAACAGAAAGCTCCTCCTACAGCAACATTTTAGCTGCATTTTTAAACTTGAGTGTTGACTGAGGTGCCTGCACTGTCATTTTCACCAAGTGGTGATGCCACATGGCTCTTCTCTCTCACAGCTCACAGTCCTGAGTGGATGCACAGACCCAAACTCAAATTGGCCATAGGCCAGTGGGCACCAGAGATACCCACAGTTAATTGTCTCTGTTTTGCTGTAAGGTATTTCTTTCTCACAGGAGATCCCACAAGAGTATGGAGAGGCATCATTAGCGCTGATGTTGGTGACCAGCTAAAACTGAACTGGAGAGAATAGGTTCTTAGCAAATAGATCTGAGACGTTCCTGTCCCCCCCTCAGCTCTCACTCAGCACCTCGGGAACATCCCTGAGGCCCTGGGAGGGACTGCCTGATGACTGCTGTCCCCTCCATGTCAGGCATCCCCCTCACAAACTCAACTAAGGACCATTTTATACCATCTGGCTGGCTCTCCTCCCGCAGGAAAGCTGCTCCATGGTCCCAGTGCCCCACTAGCAAACTCAAGGGGGTAAATATTAATGTCATATGGCTGTGCTTTTTGTAAGGTGAGACAACCCTTTTTTTCCCCTGGCCATGTCCTCACTGAGTTGTCCGTATGCAGCAAACATATCCTTTCCACAGCTTTGCTTTCCCAGGCTGAGCCCAGATCTCTGACACTGCTCCTCCTGCCACCTTACAGCCTCTCTGCATCTCTTTCTGCTCGAGTTCAGCACTTTCAAGTGCAGGTGACCTTTAACTTTGGTGTTCATATCTTGCCACCTCTTGATGATTTACCACATTTTCTGCTTTGTTATCCTCCTCGGGAGAAATACAAAGGGCTGTGTGTTGGCTCTGTAGAAAATCCCTGTTTGCCTGCATGGCCTCTGTATAACTCAGGACATGGTGATTGCTACTCCCAGACTGAGAAGTTGTGGGGAAGGTTACAAGTTACAGTCTCGATCAGAGCTGACATGAAGAAAATTGCAAGTGTGTCCATTCCATCCTCTCTCCACCAGATATCTTTCTCTGAGCTTTCAAGGGAAGTTTAGCACACCTACAGCTTTCAGCACATTATGTTTGTAACACACTAATGCTTATTTATCTGTACCACACTGTCTGCCCATGCTCCTCTCAGGGTCCCTCTAGGAGAGTCAGTAGGGCTCAGCTTAGGGAGAAGAATAAAATGCGCCGTTCTTCCCTGTTCCCCAAGCCAGGCATCTCCCATTAGTTTTCATCGCCATGATTATCACCATTTCAGCCAACATCATAATTATTGTCATTTCAGTCCCCAATCCCACCCCTTGTGCTGTGGATTTTGCCTCCCACCTGTCTTCACACCTGCCAGTCAGCACCTTTCCAAAGCAACGTTTGTTATCTCCTAAATCTGTCTCTGCTCCATTCCTTTCACTGCTTTTGACAAATCACATCCTCTGCTGCCTTTAATGAATTCTCTTCCTCTGTTTAGAAAAGGAGATGGCTGTCTGTCAGGAACACCAACCACTCCAGAAGCACTGCAGACACATACACCTTTCTGAAAGATGAGTGGGGTCAGGGACTCAAACCTGTATATCACTCCTCAAAACACAGCAGAGCTGCACTTAGAAATGCTACATTACACTCCAGGATTCTGCTGTTTTCCTCTAAAACACTGGCATCACCATAATTTTTTTCTCATTCTCCTTATTACCAAGCTGTTACCCACAAAACCAGCCCACTCCTCCATGGTCTGCCCAAAATACAGCAGCCAGCCATCCTCCCCCCACATCAGTCACCAGGAATGCTCACTTCTATCTTAGCTTTTTTTTCAAGCTCTTTTCCTCACCTTTAAAGTTCTCTGCATCTTCTTGCTTGCTCCATCTTTCTCCAAAACACATGTCACTTCCTTGGATGTTTTCCTACTGCGTTCTTCCAGCTTCATGCCTGACTTTGCCTGACCATGCAGTATTGTGGCTGGTGACAGTACACAGATGGGAGATTACCCCATTGAAAAATATGCATTTTGAATGAACTGAAGTAATTTTGTGAGATCATAATTTGTGCAACAGAAAATAACTCATGAGAAAATACAAGATTGTTTCAATTTAAGAATATGTATGAATATTTTAAAATGCAGAAGTATTTTATTCTTTTATTTGTTTCGTGTCAAATCATTGCTTAATTTTTTTATAAGCGTTAATAACTCATCAGCCAAACAAATGCAAAAAAGCATACAATGGAAAAGGGGGTGTCTTTAATTTATTACTGCTTTGATCCTAAGAGGAAATAATGGAAGCTAAACAAAAACATAAACAGAAGGAAGCTGCATTATGTTGCACTGTGTGTCTATAACACCAGGACATACTATTGACATATTATTAATCATATAATTAGATTTATTAGAATAAAATAACATGAATTTCAGTTGAAATAATGTTAAAAAATCAATTCTGAAAAAAAATGTAAACTAAATAAGAAGAGCTGGTCTCTCTTATGTAATAAGACCAGCTGAGTATTTGGAGGCAGGTTGATGCTGTGCTCACCATAAACATTTTGAATACACCATGGGACAGGTCTTCTCTTTGTGACTCTGCTATTGACTAGTGTTGGGTCCTTCCTCGGGTTATTTCTTTTTTTTTTCCCGGTTCATTTTCTCACATTTTTTTTTCTTTCTGCCTGCAGTGTTGAGCTTTTTTCACTGTTCGTTTATGCAGCAGTCAGCAAACTGGAAAGCTGCTCTGGGTTGGAGCTGCAACCAAAGAACAGGTTAATTACTTCAATAACAGTCATATTTTGAATCTGTCACATACCTTTTTGGGGCTCTTGAATGAATCTCTGGTATCCTCTTTGATCTTATAAATCATGAAAATAGCCCTTGTTGAGATTAATGGATGAAAAGCAAATTATTTGTCTGACTTACAAAGCATCATAGTTTACAGAATGGCACTAAACAAAAATTTAAAGCTATTAAAATAAAAAATTTCAAGTCTGTCCTTGTTTCAATATTTTGTCCTTTACCATGTATCCTAAAGGGACTAAAATATATCTTAAAAAACCCCAACATATCCAACCCCAATATCTCCACTGAATAAAAGCTGCTTAAACAATTATTGCAAAGTAGTGTCAGTAGCTGTGAGTTCTTATTTTGCTCAAAAAGCTAGTAAATTTTTAATGGGGAGGGCTATAAATGGACTGCATATACAAGTTGTTATCAGCTGAAGAAAATGAAAAACTAAAATAATGAGACATGGAAATTTTAGATCAGCCTCTGTAAAAAGTTGCAGATTAATGAGGGTGTCTCCTGTGGTGGAGAGATCTGAACTTTTAAATTTTTCACTTCAGTCAGGGATTGCTGTGAAGAAGTGGGGTTTATCAAACACATTAAAAGGAGTGCTACCACCATTTACAGTCTTTAAAAAGAACCATATTTGATTTTTGTTTCACAGAAGGTGTTTGATAGCCCACTCACCTCTTTTCCTGTTTATCGCAGATACAAAATCTTCTATTGGCCTCCAAGCCTATGCTGTGACTGACAGGTGCCCCTTCAACACCCGCATATCACCAAATCTCATCCGTCTCTGCGAGTGGTGAAGTGAACCTCCTGTAAACTCCTGAGCCCGAGCAACAGAGTAGAAGGAGAAGGGGACAGGGGCCACCTGAGAGGGCAGAGACTTCTTGCTGTCAAAGGTAAAGTCCATCCATATTCAATGTGCTGCTGGTGGGCCAGCTTTGGCAACCAAGGGAAAGGGAGCTGCAGCAGTTAACTCTCCCTTGAAACCCTCTGTGAAACCGCTTTTTCAGTCTGACTGTTTTGCTGAGTGATGTGGAGAGGGGAGAAAATGGAAAATGCTGTGCCCTGGTTGGAAGCTTTCAAGGTATTAACGATGTAAGGGTAGCCTGAAGTAAAGCATCTCCATCCTCTGTTCAGCTCAGAAAAAACACTCGAATGTTGCCAAAAGCAGACACTTTATATCTATAAATCCAGAATTATGTATCTCTATGTATCTACATATTTGTAGATCTATGTATCTATAACAGATTATCAATTATTTTTAAAATTTTTTTTAACTTTTGATAGCTCAGTCTATGAACTGCTTTTAAGGGGTCCCTGACAAGCAATTAAGAAAAGTGAGCCAGCGCTGCAATGCTTACAGTCACAGTGTGTAAGGTTCACACATCAAAAACATTAGCAGGAAATATTATCTACCAACATCTGTTGCTGTACGAAGAGGCATTATCTAGTGACTCAACATTCAATATTTAGAGGCTTATGTCTTTTAAAAAGTAAAAATTAATAATGCAGATGTCCTAGCTACAGCTGAAAACTCAGTATAGTAGAGAATTACACTACCAATGTAGATTGCAGCACTGCTTTTCTCTCATTGTTATTTCTGAATAACGAATCCTGTGGGGTTGAGTGCTGTATTTGTAATAGGTTTCTCTGCATGGCACGTACCAGTTGAAACCAGTCCTGTTGCCCCCAGAAAAGCTGAGGCAGGTCAGTGAGGCGTGAGCAGCATCCATGCCTGGAGCAGAGGATGAACACCAACTTCAGTACTCCTCTGTGCTGTGCATACAGATCCTTCTGTTCCCTCACACAAGTGGCACAGTCAGGCAAGAAGTGGTGAATTATAATTCCTTCTTTATCAATATAAAAATTTGCACTGTTCTCTCTCCTTTTTTATACCTGAGAAGGAATTTTTAATTTAGGAGAGCCCATCCTTGACTTTTATTGAATTAATCACAATTCCTATTATTGCTACAGCTTAATAACAATGATTATTAGAAATTACTCTTCCTTCCTGGAAACTCTGTGACTTTGAAGCTCTTTCAAGATGTGGTCAACCCGTAAGCAAGTGTAACACAGGTACAACGCAGCATAAATTTTCAAAAGTGTTAGCTGTGACAAGCCAAATTCTTTTGAATGGATCATTACTTCTTAAAATGTGAACACTTAAGGTGGCAAACTATGGCCTTTTACAGGGGTCATGAACTGACATCTGAAACAATAAAAAAGGTAGCTGAAGCACTGACTCATTTCTAGAGAGCTGATCAGTATTTTACTATTTTAAAGCTACCTTCACTGCAAGTCTTCAGAAATGACAGAGAGGAAACACCTCTCCTATTGCTTTGCTTTTCACTGAACTAGAAAACTGAAGTTGGATAGAACAGGCTGGAGCACTAAATTGCAGTAGGCACAGCCAAGCAGCTCACCAGCTTGCCTGGAGGTCAGTGCCAACCCAGAGCTTGGCACTGCAAGTGCTGCTGTGTGTCCCTGGGAACTCCTTGCTGCTGCAGAGCTTTTTGTATGTGATCCTAGGGATCCACTCACAGAAAACTAGCTTGCATGTCTCTGCACTCCATGCCAATATCCAGCCCTGAGCAGCCTTGCTAAAAATGCAGTTCTGCTGCTGGGTGATGGCTTCTTCAGTCCTGACACATTTATAAGAGTTTTTATGCTACAGGTAAAAAGCTTACCCACCCCAGGGAGCACAAGAAAATCCAGATCCTTAGATCAGATGGAGGGGTTTGTACCCTTTTTTTATCCTTATGACTATTCAGAACATGAATTTTTCCCTGTCGTCGTAATGATGAGGGACTAGCCCACTGGTACCGAAGCAGTTTCAGGGAAACCAAGAACATCCCAGTGCTCATACTTACATGTGGATAGGAATGATTGGCAGGCTGCCAAGGCAGCCTTTTGTGTGGTACAGCTGGTCTTGTCCAGCCAGCGAGACTGAGACCGCATTTTGCAGTTCCTCTCTCTGCCTGGAGGCTGACCCACAGGCTCAACACAGCACAGAGAGAGGCAGAAGCCACCCCAGCAGTACTGTGCCAGGACACCCAGCCATTTACCATTTGCTCTTTCCTGCACAGGTATCTGAGATGAATCCCACAAGCCAATCCCTTGGCACAACTGAATATGACTATGGATATGATGAAAACACTGCTCCGTGCAACGAAGGAAACAGCTTTCGCAGGTTTAAATCCCTCTTTCTACCAAGTCTTTACTGCCTCGTGTTTGTCTTCTGCCTTCTGGGAAACTCTTTGGTCCTTTGGGTTCTCCTGACCAGGAAAAGGCTGACGACAATGACAGACATCTGCCTGCTGAACCTTGCCGCCTCTGATCTCCTCTTCGTTGTGCCTCTCCCTTTCCAAGCCCACTACGCTTCAGACCAGTGGGTTTTTGGCAATGCTATGTGCAAGATAATGGCTGGCATTTATTACACAGGTTTTTATAGCAGTATTTTCTTTATAACCCTCATGAGCATAGACAGGTATATAGCAATTGTCCACGCTGTCTATGCCATGAGGATACGGACAGCCTCTTGTGGCATAATTATCAGTTTAATGCTGTGGCTGGTGGCTGGCTTGGCTTCTGTGCCCAACATCATGTTCAATCAGGAGCTGGAAATTGAACAGGCTGTGCAGTGTGTCCCCACATATCCGCCAGGCAACAACACCTGGAAGGTTGCTTCTCAGTTTGCAGTCAATATCTTGGGCCTCTTGATTCCCTTTAGCATCCTCGTTTGCTGCTATGCCCAGATACTGAAAAACCTGCAAAAATGCAAAAATCGGAACAAGATCAAGGCGATCAAGATGATCTTCATCATTGTCATCGTTTTCTTCCTCTTCTGGACTCCCTTCAACATCGCACTGTTCCTGGACTCTCTGCAGAGCCTGCACATCATCAACGACTGCAAGGCGAGCTCCCAGATAGCCCTGGCGCTGCAGCTGACGGAAACCATCTCCTTCATCCACTGCTGCCTGAACCCCGTCATCTATGCCTTTGCTGGGGTGACATTCAAGGCCCATCTTAAGGGGCTGCTTCAGTCCTGTGCCCGTGTCCTCTCCGGCCCTGCTGGAGGTGCTGGGACCGGCCAGTCATTTTCAACACCCACCCAGCTCTCTGGCTGGTCTGACAGTGCCGGGGTCATGTGAGCCTGCCTGAGCTGCCTTCTGCTGCTGGAGGGGCTGGCTGGAGGTCTGATGAAGTCCTGGAGGGTGTACCATGTGCGCAGCATCCCCCTGGGAGAAGCAGTATACCCGCACCTCCTTTAGGGATATGCTGTGAATTGTGATGTGATAAGTTACATTATTTTCCCAAGAGCACCGGTGCACTTGTAACATAGTGACTGTGCAAGGTTGCTACAGAACGATCTTTAATTAAGTTTTTTAGAGCTCTTTTAATACATTTCAGCTAGCAGGGTGCTTCCTGTAGTATTTATTTTCTTCTCTGATGAAAGCATTGCTTCTGCCTAATCCCCAAATATGCTCTGCCTTGTGGAAGCTGTTCCATACCTGAATCCCTACATCCCTGGGACAGACACGGGGAACCCTTTTAGGAAGTGGGGAAGTGGACAGGCTTCACATTATAAAGAGGGAATTCACATTATAAAGAGGGAATAATGCTTCACATTATAAAGAGGGAATCACCTCAGTCACTGTCACCATTCCCCCTTTGCCTCAACTCCCAGATTAAGAGGCCCCTCAGCTCATGATTGCTTCACTGTGGGATGCCCCCAGGGCCACAGCCAGAGAGCTGCTGCCGCCCAGGGCAGCCTTTGGTGGTGATGGCTCCAAAAATAACAAAGCAGTACCTCCAGGTGTCCCCTGTACCAATCACTTATGGAGGCTTATATACTTGAAAATGTCATCATCAGAGCATGCAGGACATCAGCATCACCTCTGGAGCTGTGGGACCTCCAACTCTGTGCTTCCAGTGCTCGCTGCTAAACATAATCATCGCAAAATGGCATGTAGCAAGTAGGCTCAATCTCTTTTTTACATTTGTACATCTTTTCTGACATATTAGAAATGCTTTCTTTGAATAAATGTATCAGCTGCACCTTTTTTTCCTGGCTCCTGAAAGTCTGCCTAATGACTCACAAGCTGAGTTTAGGATCAGGAAAGGATGATTTTTGAGTGGGTATCAAGTAAAATACATGGGTGGAAATGAGAGGAACCCTGAAGCTGTTCAGTAAAATAAGTCTCACCTCCACTTTCCTGCTGAGGAAGATTTTTTCTTTCCCAATGAAATCAGCTTAGACAGCACAAAACCTGGCAGTCAGGTTTTCTGACTGCAGGGAAGAAACACAATGACTGATCAAGGAGGGGACCACAATCCCACCCAGACTGCATGGGACGTAGAACACCAAGGAGCAGCCTTCAAGGGTAAAATGTGTCAGTGTAGAGTTCCCTGCACCTTTTTAGGCCTCTAGATGTCAGGGAATGGTAATTTCATTCCTTGGAGCTTTTTTGGCAGGTTTTTTTTTGTCTGATTGAAATTGGGCATTTGTGAAACACCAAACAACTCGCTTTGTTGACAGTTGTATAAAAAGAGACCAAAGCCCAAAAAAGGCTGATTTTAGGTAAAGATAATGTTCAAGGACTCTGGTTTTAAAACACTACTTTGGATCATATCTGGAGTCTTGTTAGTCAGAGGAAATAATAAGCAAAAAGGGATAAGGTCCCCAAGTCCTTATTTTTCAATAATTGTTTATTTGTCTTGCTGAATTTCAAATTTCAGAAAGACAAGACAGCCAAAAGCACTGCAATTTTTAAAAGATTATGCCTCATTTTAGGTTGCTGTGTCATTCAAAGCAAGACACACCAATATATGCAGCAGACATGAACGATTCTTTCCAATGCCATCATGAAATTCTGCAAGGGTGAACCTAAAATGTCCCAAAGAGACTCTTGTGTCATGAATGCAGTTACCTTTTCAGCAGTAGACTAGGATTGTCTCCGGGTTCCGACACAAGAGTCAAACTCGGGTTTCTATTATTTCTTTTCTCCAGCTCCTACTGTTCTCTGTGCGTGTGTCACAGAATTTAGCACAAATGATATGGGAAACCTTAACCTAAAAGTCAAAAATAGGCTTTGCTGGGCTCACTGCAGAGTTTCTACCCCCTGCTCCTCATATTCCACTGCTATGTTTGAAAGACTGGTATTTAAGAATCCAGTGGATCCAAGCCCCACCGCCTCTGCTCAAGAGCAGTCTCTCACAGATCAAGATTAAAGATTCTTAGGACACTTTTCCCCTCAGAAGACTTTTTTCTCTGTATAATGAGGCTGCAAAAAGGAATAATACAAGCACATATTGTGCCCCTTTAACTGTTAGAACTACCAGAAGAGAGACACAAATATACCCAGCATCATCCCAAGCACTTGTACACAGCGGAACACTCAGAAGCATTGTGCCTTTTCTCTAAACATGAAATTTTTTTTTTCTTACTGGTTCTAACCCCAAGAGCTTATGCTACCCTTATATGTGATCTATGGAGAGGATCTATGGACATACTAGGCAGTGTTCAAAAATTTTTGCACTTTTATGCACTGAAAGAGTTCTGAATAACAGCTCTACACTCATATAATGCTAATGAGGAGCTGGTACTGCGGTTTTTTCAATTATACATTATTTTTTTTTTAGGCAGAAACTTGTCAGCAACAATCTGCTTTTTTCTGCAGGTGTAATAACCTTCTTGGAATAAAGCAGTTAGCAGATGCGCTATCTCCTCAGTTTCAAGGGCTCAGTAAAACTGATAGAAGAAATTTGGCAATCTAGTCATAACCAGACCAGTTAGTTTTCATGTGCTGAAATGTTGTAAGCTGCAAATACCACTGCAAAAGTATCAAAGAACATTCAGGTTTGATGTCACCTGGATTTCCTGGTGCTGGATGTGGCAGTGGGAATATATATGCCATTAAATTGGTGGAAAGTTTATCACTATTCAGAAAAGGATAGAATAAGGAAATTATTTCTGTTTGTAGAACAGATCTTTTGATCAGAAGTTGGACATCTAAAGCAGTTATTGTTTCTCCAGGGACTGTTTTGAAATGATGGATATCAGATTTCCAGCTAAACTGCTAAGTACCACTTTTCACATTTGGTAGCATTTCCCTAGCTAGTTCAAATATGTGTCTGAACCTGCTTGAAGTCTCTAGCTCTTGATTTTCACCTAACATGTTTCACAATACTCCACCTGCCTGTCTCATATTTCTCTGTCCTTTTGTAGTATGATGTCTATGACACTGTGACAGGAAGGTCTGACCTTACTCTACTGCGAGGCCTCTTGGCAGTGTGCAACAGAATGTCCAAATATCAACATCCTCAAAAACACCTCCCAGAACTTTAAAATAAATGAAGTGTAATAATACTGTTCAAAGCACTGCAAAAGAGAAATGTGAGAGTTAGAAAAGCAAAATCGTAAGGTAAGATGTGGTGTTGTTGATAATTCCTCCTGGCTTTTTTCTGGCCCATGATTGCCAAGCTTACAGCTTTCATAGCGTTCCTCAGTTCTACTGACTTACCATGGGGCAGCCCAAACTTAAGAAGATATGAGGTTGAATTTTAGACCTGCTGCATTTGGCCCACCTCCCCAGGCTAAGGTCACGAGAAGCCTGATTTGACAAGGGCTCCTGCAAGATTAAAAAAGTGAACATGAGAGAGAATTCTACAGGAAGAAAAATTTCTGCAAGTGACGTTCTGCCTGCTCAGGAACAGTAGTGGGAGGTTGTGCACACTCTTGCCCTCTATCGCTTTGGCCCCATAAAGCTCACGTCTTTCCATAAGGAAAAATGAAGAGCTGCACCTGGTGTGAGAGCAGGGTAAAATGCTGGTTGATTCTAGATTTACCCTTAGCTTCCAGCAGGTGTAGAGGTCTGTGACCTCGTTAAGGGACTCTGCCCTCTTAATGGGGACAGTTGACAGAAGGTCAGAAGTTTTAGAAGGACATAAGTTGTAGAAAACGTCTACTTTTCCTTCCTTCTTCTTTCACTTCTGGGGGTCAAAACCAGATGCTGATTTCTGACTAAATATTGGAGTTTCACTTATCCAACCTTTCTTAAAATCACTCTCTATCTCTCACTTAAGAATTCTCATTTGAGGTGTTTATGCAACACAACAAAAGTGAGAATCAACCCATAGAAACCACCTGTTGATACAATGGCAGAAATCCTGCAAATACTTTAGGATGATACAGCTCTGGAAAAAAAAAATCACATTAAATTTTGTCTTATAACACTAAATTACTTAAGCTAGCCTTCTCGATGAGTTTGGGAAACCTTGAGTTTATGCCTCCAAAGAGATGAAAAATTTATCTACGCTCCTACCAGTTGTTACTAACTGTCCTTTGGATACTGAGGGCAGTGGTCTCCAGGCAGACCCCTACCACTGCCAGTCCCAAGCAGCTTTACAGTATCATCACACAGAGAGACACAGACCTGCGAGGTTAAAAAGCCCGTCCTGTGCTCAGGCTAAACAGCAGTTGAGAGCAGTGACTAACAAGTCATAGGGCTGCTGGTTCTGGACCTTGCTGAGATGTACCTGTAACTGCACAATATAAATCTATTTCTCCACTTATTACAGCTTGTGCACCAAAATGTCCCCAGGACTGACTATTGCAGGGCCCCTCAGGTTCACCAGCAGTACAGGGACATGGACATCAGTAGTCTGTTACAGTAGGGACATGGGTGACATGAAAAACCCTCAGAGTTTGCCACTGGGTTGGAAGATCTGTGACAAAACCAAGCACAGGGTGTCTAAAAACAATATGGGAAAAATATGTCATTAACAGCTGTTATATTGTAGAACATGGAGTTATACGTGGGCACTGCTCTTAATTCCAGGAGCTGCTTTAGCCCCCTCCTACTTAGAAAATTCAACTCACTGAAAAGAACTCTTGATCTTTTGATTTCTTTGCCCTTTTTTGTTTCTTCTGAGTCACTTCCATTAGCACGGACTTCCCACTCCTTAGGACTACTTCCTCTCTCCTCTTTCAGGAGTCTCTAGCACACTGATTTCTTTTCTGCTGTAAACATGCTTAGAGGGTAAGTCTGTGTCTTTGTCCCTAGTCCTTTCCTCACAGCACATCTCTTTGCTTCTCCATATAAACCTCTCAGGTTGTTGGTTCTCAAAAACCAAAGCTCAGCAAAGCTGCCCTGTGTGGAGGGCTGGCAAGTGAAAGAGAATCTGTTGAATTTCTCTAGCCTATCTCCAAAGTTATGAAAATTTTCTGAAATATATTTATATATATTCTTAGTATTGCCATATGAAATATTCTTGTTACAGGGGGATCTATGAAGGGAGAGACTTCTGCAACCCTGTAAATGGAGACTCTGCTTCCCCAGTGTCTTCTTCAGCCTTGCAGCCCAGTGACACAGTGTTGGTATTGCCATTCCTGGGCTACCAGCTTTGCACTGAGTGTGCATGGTCTTGGGGCTAAGGTTTGCCAGCCTGGCTTTGTCTGAACCCATTTTGATCTGCCCAAAGCTTTATTTTTACTTGGTTTAGCTGTAGCAGCAATGCTTCTGAGTAGGAGTCTATATTTAAT